CGGACAGAACAGTAGTTTTTCTTCTCTTCCTTACTCCAATTCTGCCTCTGCTTTTCTTCCTCAGATGACTGGAAGCGATTTAGAATCTATAATACTAAGCCTCAAACCTAATAAGTCTCCGGGAATCGATGGAATACGACTAAGTGACATACGAAGAAATTTATGTTATATTCAAAGCACACTTCTCCTTCTATTTAATACAATTCTTGAATCTGGTATCATACCTAATGAGTTAAAAATCGCCGTCGTCAAACCCCTGTTCAAGGGAGGGCACAGAAATAGGGTCGAGAACTATCGTCCGATATCTATTTTGCATGCCTTGGCCAGATACTAGAGAAATTTATATATAATGCAACGTCTTCATTCCTTGAAAAACACGAGCTTATGTCTCCAAATCAATATGGTTTTATTGCTGGCCGAGGCACGCAACCACTTCTAGAATCACTATCTGACGAGCTAAATTTCAGCTTCGAACACAACTTGTTTACCTGTGCCTGCTTTATAGACGTTTCTAAGGCTTTTGATACAGTTAAACATCTAATTTTACAGCACAAGCTTTCAGCTTTGGGTTTTCGGAGCCCTTTCTTATCACTGCTAAAAGATTTCTTACATGAACGTTCACAACTGGTGGCTGTAAATGGTATATATAGTAGCAACCTCTCATTAAAAGCCGGCGTTCCACAAGGCTCCATACTTTCGCCGCTCTTATTCAACATCTATGTTAATGATATGGCTAGCGCAGTTACCAACTGTATAATATACCAATACGCTGATGATACGCTTGTATTGACTCATCATCTTTCATACCCAAAAGCAATGGGGATGCTTCAACAATCTTGTAATGAGCTCATGGGTTGGTTTAATCAAAATCTGATTGCTATAAATGTATCTAAAACAAAGCTCGTATGCCTCCACAGTCCTTTGAAAGTTGTTTCGCTAAATATTCCACTTTTTTTACACAAATCTAATTGTTTCCCGTGCACTGTGATAAAGTTCCATATTCTGACACAGTGAAATATCTTGGCACTTTCTTTGACTCTGATCTATCATGGAATTCGCATCTTACTAAAATCTGGGCTAAACTTAGGAGTGTCTCCTGTTTGCTCTATAGCATCAAAACATTCATGCCCTTCGGTTTGCGCAAGCGCATAGCTTATTCATTAGCCTACACACATTTCCGCTATGGCATAACTGTATTTGGCCAATGCTCGAGACTATGGCACAAAAAAGTGAACGGTATTTTAAGAGAAATTTTGAGAAATGTGTTCTATGGCGTGAGTGTTTCCAATTTATATTTATTTCAAACTTTATCGATGCCGAATTTTCGATCTTTGTTCCTAGAGACGGTAGTACTCAATTACAACTGGGAGGACGACTTTAAATCTCCTCACCCTGCCACGCGGCAATTGCGGAAAGTTCCACTCTACGACGTTCCAACATGTTATACACGGTATGGGAAAAACATGCGTTCATTTTATGTCCCTCATATTTTCAGCGAGGTACCACCAAGTCTCTCGAACTTTACTTAAAAAAAAAACTTAAAAAAGAACTACGCAATATATTTATGAACGAAAAAACAAAGTGATAATTTTTTTGTAAATCTTTTATTGTTTCGCGCAGAAACTATCTTGTCTATCAATTATTGTTCTCATTTATTTGTATGTGAGTGGCACACTCTAACGTCTTGCTATATGAGTAGCTACTTTAGCTTCTCTGCAATACACGTTCGTGTTCATTTTCTAATACTCTATTAATCTGCTTGACATGAACTTGATCCTTTGAAATTTGACTTTTGATGAAGTGTGACTCTGAAGTGATGCTTTCTTATTGCCTTGTGTTTTCGTCTTTTTTTCTATTACTTTCTGAAACTCTCCTGTGAATCACGATAACCTTTAGGTTCAGTCCCACAAGCCCTTGTTGGCTTAGACGAACCTGTCTTCTGCTGTTTTGAACTAACACAGCGTAAATAAATTTAAATATTACTATTACTATTACTATTTGTAATGATGTTTCACATTTGCAATAAAATATTATTATTATTATTATTATTAATATTTTGTTATTATTTTCACTATTATTATTATCAGCATCTCTGGTGCCTACGTTACAATAAATATATATACCAAACAGAAAATGCCAATGGCCGAGCTCACCCGAAATCACCTTACAATCTGGACAATGACCAATGGAGCGGCACACTTTTAATCTGGGGTGCTTTCTAAAAAATCTGAGTCGGATAGAGGAAATGGAACCCTGTTTTTCAGCCCACTTAAATCCATCGCAGATATCTGAAACTACGCGCAAATATCACGCTAGTGGCGATGGTAGAATGTAAATGTTTGAAGGCATCACATTTTATGATCACAAGCTAGGATATAAAAGAAAAATCTTTTCTATGAGCCAACGTACACCTAGGCCCATTATTACAAAACCAAGAATGAACACTGAGAACTCCTCTGGCATTTATTTCAGTTAACAAAATTCTAATTTGGTACATCTCGACTCATATATTGACAGATGTAATTTTAAAGTTCCAAGAAGTGTCCTCTGCGAGGAGCTCGTTTTTCACATATTTAATAAAAGAAAGTGCTGGATCTATCGTACAGGTTGTTGGTTCCGTAGTATAAGTTTTCAAGAAGCAGCGTGCGCCGGAAATGTGCCTTAAATCTCTAGAGAACAGTCGAGTAATCAAATTTGAGTAACGGTTGGTATCATTTAGTGTTAGGCAAGCGAAAAAAGTGTCTTCTATTCTTACCTCCTTGGACCATAACTAAATGAGTTGGGAAAGAGCAATCTGGCCTGCGAAGTGTTTTCAAAAAGGTACATAAAAAAACTCAAACAAACAGTCAAGAAAAAATATTTAAAATAACAGTTCGAACCATCCGAAAAATATATCGTGTTTTCCAAGGATCACCTTTACTACTTTAATAGACTTTATTCAGCGTAATTATTTAATTCTTAGAGAAATGTAGAAAGGGATGTACGCCTGTAACTTTTGTTAATCTAAAAGCAGGAAACCGCAGCCTGGGCAAAAGTCTTGTGCATTCTTAAGCTGAGTCCTCCACGTGTAACTTGTGTTTATACCTGGAAAATGTTTATTGGAAAAGTGGATTCCGTGTTTCCTCTAATACCGAACGTAAAATGTTTCTGGTATATTGACGCCTTTGTAAATCCAGTTCCAATTTTACGATTTTTTTTACAGCTCCCTGCATAAATGCATCACGTGTCAAGTCCCATGACATGAAACAATAAACATTTCATGGGAGCCAAAATATTGCAACAAGCAAGGTATATTCATTGCTATGTAGACTCCCAGAGAAAGGTTGTAGTATGCGAAGATAAGAAGGGGTACAACGCAGTGGTTAAAGTTAAGCAATTTAGAGACGTGAGGTGTCCAAACAGCCATAGCCATATCCGCCTAATCCAAAATGGTTAAACCGCTTTTTCCTTTAATTTACATCATACTTCCAGCGATCTAAACTGAGCATTCTAAATATCTGAAAAGTGCAGAATATACAAAGTGCAACGGGAAGCTTTTTTTTTGTTTTTGTTAAAATAGTGTTCGGTACATCAAACAAACAGAAATCTACGAATTGCCGGGTCGGCGAAATGGCAACACCTGGCGCTGCAGTGACGCACACAAAACGCTAGCGATATTTCCTAAGGGTATGCTCGGAAAAGCTTTTATTGATTTGATTTTGCGATGTTTCGTTTTTTGCCAACTTGCGTCACGGACACAAGGCATCGCCAATCTCCAACGGCAGCTTTTTGCCCTGGCTTCCTCTGTTTCGTACAATTAAAGAGGAAAATAAAAGCCTTGGTGAAAACCTTGGTAAAGAGAGTCAACGTGCCAGATTTGTAAGCCTGGATCGCTCGACTTTATGGGAGTCACGTGGCCTAGTTTATGAATAGACGCAGATGATAACGTGGGCGGGGGGGGGGGGGGGGCGGGGGAGGGTGCGAGATTTAAGTAACCGCGTCCGGAATGAATTTTTTAGTGAGTTATTAGCTGTTACTATTGATCATAGATAGCAACTGAGCCGTGGATTTTTTTCGTGAGTAAATCCCAGTTCGCGATTCGGGAGTATATGACGGCGATTTGGAGTCTGGAGCAGGTTTTCGGCTGGTGCGTTCACCTTCCTGACCATCCTGGTCAGATATCGAAAGCGGACCCGCAGTGGCAACAAATGGCATCGCAGGAGAGGGTATGTCATCTAAGATGCCCGATCCTAACGGTTCGTCTTCACGCAGAAAAGATTGAAAGTGTCGCTGACTCCCAACGTGTGGCTACCAATGTTTCCGTAGACTATCAAGCCGGGGGGCATATACTGCGTAAAACAGCCGTCTGAAATATCCACTCCCCCTGCTGTGACGCCGCGAATATCACAGCCCGTTACAACGTGGCACTTATTTAAATCATCGTAGGAAAAACGGAGAATCACATTTTAGGAAGCAATATACACAGTAGTCTGAAAAGCCTTTCAGTCACCATTTCTAATGTAATAGGGAGAAAGCTAGTAACCTTTAGCGCATTAAATAACTTTAGTATATTGTTTAGTTTACCAACTGTCCATTCAAAATTCGCTTTCCTGAGTGTGGGTGTGCTCTGCATCGTTCGCTGGACATACTGCGTCGATTACATTGATAGGTTAACCGCATCGACTAGATGTGTAGATGCTGCCTGAATAGAGAGTGTACCGCGCTTGCTAACCTTTGTCGTTTCGTCTTACACTTTCGAACTAAAACTTGCTTTTAACAGGTGTCGGAAGGAAAAAAAATACTTCATAAAGGATGGAAAAACAAAACAGGAACAATACAACGAGAAATAAGAGCCAATTAGGGAGGGCTTAACGGATCAAAAAGATTTACTCTTCTCGGGGAATAGATTGCTATTGCTAGCGGTGGAGTTCTCCAGCGGAAGTGTAAAAATCACATTTGGAGACAGTCGTGTATACATACGTTTTACTCCACTGCTGTATGTTAGGTTTCATGTAAAAAAAATGCTGCGTGCCAAGAGCTTTCATATTATGCTTTTCTTTACTGATGGAATTTTAGGTAAGTTAATTTTTTGGGTATATACTCTATATATATATATGAAGGCGTTTTCATTCTAATTCAGGCAGAGTTCTGGGGACGGCATTTTACTTTGTTGGAAGAAAACTATATTGTGTAAACGTCCTCTAAGCGCAAAAGAGCGGAAACGGCAACCTTGAAGGATAATGTTTTCTTTTAGGCCACTGCAAAATGACTCTGCACTAGGAATACTGCACTGTTCTTCAGCGACTCTTTTACAATTTATTTATTACTCTTGATCAATGGCCAAAAATATTATATGTTGTAATGTATATTTTGTTTATTTAATTCATTCTCCATTGATAATTCTTGAAAGTTTGGCAAAGTTTCACAGCGACCTATTCAAGATATTTCATTAACATTGATATCATCAAAACGATAAAACATAGCATTTTATATTGAAAGCAAACCCAATATTATTCATACAAAATAGAAACCGTTAAATACATTTTAATAAGTGAATGTCTAAAAAGCCTCGTGTTCAAAATCAATGTTCTCAAAAAATTCATTTTTTATTTAATATTAGCAAGGTATAATAACATTAAATATATAAGTTAACATATACATCTAGTACTTTGTTTAAACGACCGGAGGTAAGGCTTGAATCTGGTGAAATGTGCTTTGTAAAACTGAAATCGCTGTGGCTCACTATAATAACATTTATTACGCATGAGGCACAATTGGAATAACCTTAAGTATACGTGCTAAGTTAACTATTAATGTTGGGTAATTAAGCAATTTCATGCCAAATGTTTGGCGATAATAACGCTCATGGGAGGACGCTTTCGCAATTCAAAACTGACAAGATTCAAGCTTTAATTCCAGCTATAGAGACTATTACCACGTTAATTTTTACATGTTCTATATAGCACATTCATAACTTGCTACTAATGAAACATGTAGCGAAAGGAAAAATTGTCGTTCTGAATTCTTAAGCCTTCAAAATTCTCAGTCATCATAAATATCCTCATGCAATAAACGTTTGTTTGGAGTATCTTTAAGTGACAGATTATTTCAAGACGATTGTCAAAGTGGGCGGGTTTGCCTTTAAATTCTTTGGTGTTACAGAGGATAGCGGTTTGTATTTGACTGACTCTGATACCTTTAGGCTAAATAACGTACATTGACTTGTGGAAATGGAGCATGGTGGTTAAGTTACGGTGCTTCCTAGCTCCTGAATCCTTCAGAATTTAACATGTTGATACTACGTTGGAACCAAACTCATCTAAAAAATAAAGTTACAAAGATGTGAAGCAACCCTGAACTTAGCTTTAAATGAGTTAGTTAAAATGAATCTAACTACTTCGCGGTGCATGTGTTATCGACTTTGGCATATCTTTTATAGCAAGCGATTACCAAGGACGCTCATAAATGTTTTGTTAAGAATTATAATATTTTTACTCGCGTGCGTAGCTGCACTTATTGAGCCCCGTGTTTTATGGAATGAGGCCTACTTATCTAATTGTCATAAAGACTACCATAAGTAAGTTTTACGTGTTCATGTCGCTTGGACTGTTTCCCTCTCATTGGAACCTTGTTTTCATGCAGGGCATTACAGTCTTGTTCTAATTAGAAAGTTCCTATCTGAGGAGTAGGTCAACACTGCGTATACTCAAGAGGCATTCGGATCTTGATATCACAATGCGATCCAGTAGAAGCACGGCTTGAACACGAATTCTGCGTCAGCATTTGGAGAAAACGGGTCCTCAATCAGTGATTTGGGGAACGATCTGTGCGCAACCGCTAATTAGATGCCATCCAGAATTATGCGCTGTCGCGATAAAATGCATAGAGATAACATTAAAAATACATTATGTATGCATATATTTGCATCGGAAGAATGATATAAAGATATAGCTGTATTTGCAATCATGCATATAAAACTAATTTCCAGGTCCATTACTGGTTTAAATTTGCTACCAGTGGCCATCAGTACAATGAAATTTCCCTTAAAATGTTCCCTTCTAAACAAAATTTGAAGCTGGCACTTTGGTTCGTTTGAAATCATTGCAGTGTGCTGATAAGGGAAGGCTCTGTTATTGCTGAGAAAAAAGTTTGTCGGCAATGTTTTATATCTCGCCACATATATCACTCATTTTTAATTCTAAGGAAACAAAACATATTCTTCCGTACTTCAGGGGTCGACTATCCTTGTAGGTTACAAAAATTAACAAACCGATAAGAAAACAGCGGTTAATTTAATCGTAGCTTCGCGAGAGAATAGCTAAATGAGTCAACCAAAATAACCTCGAAGTCATTTTGGAGGGCGAAAAACTGATCCACTGCTAAACAGGATTTTCTCTCAGAAAGAGGAACTATAGTATTATGCACCCCAGCTGTAAAACAAAGTGTTTATAAGCTCGTTCACGAGCAACTTGCTTCCCTTTCTAGAACAAAAAACGCCTAATGTAAATTTTTTGTTAAATTTATTGCCGGATATGTTGATTCTTGATGTCATTACTAACACTTGTATTTTGGTTAGAAAATGGATGTCGCGATATAGAGTAAATGCATACATCTAGAGCTGTATTTGCTCCGCTTTTTGTCACGAATGACGAAGAGATGAACAAGGAACGAACGAGGAAACCGAAACGTTTAATAGGGCGAACTTGTGTCTAAGAGAAAAAGGAAACAAAAGATAACAACAGGGCGCCGCAGAAGTCGAAGTCGGCGTAACAACATTATCGAACGCTGCGGCGAGACTCACCCCGGCTTGCCACGTGGTGCCCCTTTTGTACACGCGTGGGCTTGTGGAACATTTGGCGTAGAAGGTACGGTGCGTAAAACATTCTAACCTCGAATCAGCAAGACGGTTCTCGACTTTAACAGAACATCAAATTACAGGCAAGCGCGATAACCATTAGGCCACGGGCGCTCTGCTTACTTGGTCAGCTTCGCGCCCGGCATTATTCCCCCTTTAAAAAAACATATCGTCCTGATGCAGCACAAAACGGAATCACAAATTCACAACAAAAGGACAGCAGAATCGCGAGATACAGTTCAAAGTTCATCCGTCGACGACAGTGCAACGTTCTATCGTTCATAATACGGCTTCAGCCGGACGGCGTGCGCCACCTCGGGTCGCGGCTGACGCCTTTTTGGTGGTCGAGTCTCGTCAAGAAGAACTTCGTAGTTCATATCTCCAAGACGCCAGATGATCTTGCAAGGCCCAAAGTAGCGCTTCAGCAGCTTTCTGCTGAGACCGCGGGGACGAATCGGAGTCCACACCTACACTCTGTCTCCGGGTTGGAAGCGGATGGCGCAGCGACAAAGGTTGTACCGGCGAGCGTCGACACGCTGTTGATCGTAGATTCGAAGGCGGGCTAGTTGATGATACCTCGTATGATGATACCTCCTGCCAGGTCTTGTATTCTACGTCGACGTACAGTGCTCCCCAAATTTAACGCCGCCACTCAAACGCCCAACTTTCGCGGACCCGCGCTATCCTAGCGGCTGCCGTTTCAACTAGGCGGTCACGTGAAGGCGATTCCCAAACTCCTGACCGGGGGAAGGGGAGGTAGTTGAGCCGCCGCTAAGGACGCCTGACTCTGCGAATCATAAGCTCATATCGTCAAATCGCTTTTTTTTTGCGTATAGCTTGCACCTTTAAGATTCATAACAAAGAAATTTTGATAATGCATCAAAGAGGAGAAAGCTTGAAGGCGCTGCTACAATGCAGACAAAGCGCAAAACACACACACACACACACACATACAAAAAGCGATTTAGACGAAATGAGTCTGTGATTCGCAGACTCAGGGCCCTTAGTGGCTGTCCTGCTACCACTCCTTCCCCGGTCCGGAGATTGGGAATGGCCTTCGTGTGACCGACTAGTTGAAACGGCCCCGCCAGGATAGCGCCGCTCCGCGAGAGTCGGGCGTTCGAGTGGCGGCGTTAATTTTGGGGCGCACTGTACATGGAGCTCATGTCGGCGATCGTTTTGTTCAGCAGCTCCGTTAGCACGTTGGTCTGCGGATGGTACGCAGTGGTCCGACGATGCCTGGTGTGGCTGAGCCGACGGATCTCTTGCGTGAGCTGGGCCAAGGACGATGACCCTCGGACGGTTATTAAGACTTCGGGGGCACCGTGTCGTAGGAGAATCGATTCGACGAAAAACTTGCCGGCTTCCACCTCTGTTCCCGATTCGTCTTCGCGTACCGGGTGAGGTAATCTGTGGCAACGATCATCCAGCGCTTCCCCAACGTTGACGGCGGAAACGGCCCAAGCAAATCCATTCCAATTTGTGGGAATGGCGTAGTTGGGGCCGATACCGGTTGCAGAAATCCCTGAAGTGTCGTAGGATGCTGCTTGCGTCGTTGGCACTCGTGACATGACCATGTGTACGAATAAACAGCCTTCGGAAGATTTGGCGAGTAGTACTTGTCACGAATCCGGGCAAGGGTCTTGCTGTAGCCGAGATGTCCAGCGTTGGGTCGTCGTGGCACGCTTGAAAATTTCTTCTCAGATGTTGGTAGGGACAACCAGTAGCAAGGGCGTTTTGCTGCTTCTCTAATTGTTTCTGAAGAGCACGCCTCACCGCAGGACAAAGCTAGATAGGTCCTAAAAAAAGACCAGTGGGACTGAGCCTCCTCAACCTTCGAGGTGGTCGATCACGGAGCGAATTTTCGTGTCGTCGCGTTGGAGTGCCCTCATGTCGGTGGCGGTAACTACGCCCAGAAAACGGGCGTCATCATCGTCGTCGGCGCCGGCAAAGGGAGCTTTGACTGGAGCCCTAGACAAACAGTCAGCGTCATTATCCTTGCGGCCGGACTTTTGCAAAATGTTTTCGTCCAAATCTTGCAGTTAAATACTCATGCGGGCGAGGCGTTCGGATGGATTCTTGAGGTTTGCGAGCCAGCAGAGGGCGTGGTGGTCTGTGACTACGCGGAACGGGATCCCGTACAAGTACGGATGAAACTTGGTTATCCCCCAAACGACAGCAAGACATTCCTTGTCGGTCGCTGAATAATTTTGTTCTGCCT